TCGAACCTACATGTACTCTAGCAGAAAGTAAGTACACTCTAGAGACAGAAGGTAGCACTAAATAGTAAAGAGCGCTAACAAACTTGTGACTCTACACAAACTAAAAAATAACAAACTGGTAAATAAGCAAAATTCTAACACTATGTAAAAGAGCTACCCAAGTAATTTAAAACTCTACTGTACCATGAAAGTTCTGGATTTAATGTGAGTTACAGATAATTGCTTCTTTGGTCCCATTATTTTTTACATATCATAGGCGAGAACTCTTCTGAGTGAACTACATTTTTCTGATCACCTGGGTGTATTCGCGGACACGAGTTTCTATTACATGAATAAATGAATAGCAAATTTTGGATGTAGAGAAAGCTCTGGGCCGGGTTGTTCGAAAGCCGGTTAACGCTAACCCAGGATTAAAAGATAACCGAAGTATTTATTTGTCTTGTGTAAATGTGTTTTGCTCTACTTATTTTTTTCGTAGTTTGAGATTATTCACACTCAAAACTGAAGGACGAACAATGTAAACAGAAAACCTCACCGAAAAGTTGCAAAACTGAAATCAAAATTCTCGCTAATCCTGGGTTAGCGTAATCGGGCTTTGAACAACCCGGCCCTGGTCTATTTGGCAATAGGAAATGAGATCCATTATGTGCCTACTTTCGTACAGAACAGTTGGTGCAAATGTTCATAAACTGTAGCAATTATCATTTCTAGAGCGTGGTGACGTCTCGGTCTCGAACACCTGAAGATCCGCCCCAAGGTACCCCACCCTTGTTACCCCCACCAGCCCCTCCCACGACGAGTCGTTGCGCAGATAAGCCTTAGAGAAAATTTGCTACTAGCACAAACGGTCATTGGTGTTATCAAAACTAAGAAATACTTCACAATTCCCCTCCTCACCTTCATGTAGCCCATTCCGCCAAGAATCTGAATACACTCGTCAGCAACGAACCAAGCAGATTCCTAACAATTTTGAAATAATCATAATCATTTTAGATCTTTATGCAACTCTTTTTTAGGCTGCACCTTCCACTTATGTAACATTAATTTATAAGAAAAATAGATTGATTTTGTGGCCTGGGATTGCATGAGACCACAATGTATATTTACATTATTTTAATTGTGGGCCTCCTGCGAAGTAGCTGTATAGCTAATTCCAGTTTGTCTCTCTAAATAAAGAATTACCTAATTACCTATCCACGAAATTGTGCAACGGTCAATTGTCAGAATAAAGACAACAGTTTTCCTCTCGTTACACATGAATAACCAGCGTGGAACATAACATTCACAAAGCTGACGGTCTCGAGCATTTGCACATCGTTGGAGCAACTACTGGAAACAGTCTTGTGAGCTGGCGTGTGAATAGCTCCAGTGCCCCACACGTTAGCTATTCCATTAGAACAAACGCCCAATTCATCATGGTCGTAATTTAGGTAATGTTATCCAAGGCGTTTTGGACAGGATTGGGCAAAATCAATCTAGCAGGGCTCGTACCACTGGATTTTCAATATTAGAACTTCACGCATGTTGTGAACTTTCCGATTTCTGATTTACGATAAAACATGAAGTGCTCTAAGGACCACTCGTTCATACCCCCTCTTCAAATCCAATGATACATGGTTAACTATCACTCATCTGCACATGACAACAATAATATAGGGAAGGCGCCTAGCTGACTTCTGGAAACATACATTTTACAATAATTTACAATTGCATGTTCAAATCAATTGACAATGGCAATTGTAAATTTACTGTATAATTGTATATTTTTCCGTCACCGCATGACACTCGTAAGCAACTGACCAGTACTTTTGGAGTACAAGTTAAACTCACTGATGCATAAATTTTACTGATGGCCGCTTCAAGCTGAAAATCTGTGGCTCCCTGATCCATGTTGGCACTAAGCATATACGCCATCGACTGGAAAGAGAAAGAACGGTTAGCCTTCAGAGAATGAGGAACTATCAATGAATTCCGTGTACCTTTTATCACGTCTATCCATGTTAGCTATCATTCTCACCTATCTATCTACACGTGGTAAGGCGATGAATGTTATGCTAGTATCGTAAGTTATGTTAGTAGTGTAAGTAGCATTAGTACTATATAATTCGTGTTACGGTATACTAAGTAATTCACACTACTGTGAACTTGTAAGGTAATGGCAACACTGTAGGTAGCATTAGTATTTAAGAATTGTTGCTGTCGTAGCTACAGTAGTGTTATTGAAGTAAGTAAGATTAGTATTGTAAAGAAATAAAAAAATAATAAAAATAAAATAAATAAATAAATAA